CAGCCTCTGCCGGGGGCACAGCCTCTGAGCCCACCGGGTCTGGGTCTGGGCACCCACTGCTGACATCGTTCTGTTACCTCGTTCACCACTGATTTCCCCCCAAGGGTGGTGTCCTCACCTATTTGCTGGCTCACAGCACTGAATAAATATCCTTTCGGTGGAAACTACCCGAGGTGTTCCAGCTCCCGAAGCCGGGTGCTACTGGCCGTCCCCCGTCTGCTGTGTGCGCTGCCTCCGCACCCTTGACATACCGGCCCCTCCTGGGAATGCCCTTCCCCCTCCAGCTCTGCTCCTAAACTTCTTTCCATCATCCAGGCTCAGCCCAAAGCCTCCACTCCTGTGATACTTTCCTCCTACCACCCAGCCCTCTGTGCTGTGCCCATCCTGCCCATGTGTGTTTTCAGATGTATCCCATGTTCTCAGGTGCTTACAGGTCACCCACAGGCCATGGGTCCTCGGACGTTTTGTTCTTCCAAAGTTAGCGATCATGACGTGTTAGCTGAGTAGATGGAAGAAAGCTAAGGTATTAGATGCTTCATGTAACATAATCCGAAATTCACCTCCAATCAGAGAACCTGATGCCTATAATTTGAGAAGTCCAGAGAAAGAAGCAAAGTGCAGCAGGTGTGGATCTGCGTGGGGCAGGTGTGGGGCGGGCACGCTTCACCATGGAGAAGCAAGGAGCAGCCACAGTGTACGGCCCTCATGACAGGAGGTGGTTAATAAAGAGTTAACAATATCCTCCCAGACATTTGTTTATTTATTTATTTATTTACTTACTTACTTGGCTGCGTTGGGTCTTAGTTGCGGCACGTGGGATCTTTCTTGCGGCATGTGGGATCTTTCATTGTGGCTCGGGACTTCCCTAGTGGCGCAGTGGTTAAGAATCCGCCTGCCAATGCAGGGGATACGGGTTTGAGCCCTGGTCCAGGAAGATCCCACATGCCGAGGAGCAGCTAAGCCCGTGCACCACAACTACTGAGCCTCCACTGTAGAGCCAATGAGCCACAGCTACTGAAGCCCGCGCGCCCAGAGCCCATGCTCCACAGCAAGAGAAGCCATCGCAGTGAGAAGCCCGTGCACCACAACGGAGAGTAGCCCCAGCTCACCTCAACTAGAGAAAGCCCGCGCGCAGCAACGAAGACCCAAGGCAGTCAAAAATAATAAATAAATTTTAAAAAATAATAAAACAAAATAAAATACTTTCACTGCGGCTCGCAGGCTTTGTTGCAGTGCGTGGGCTTCTCTCTAGTTGAGGCGTGCGGGCTCAGTAGCTGCGGTGCGCAGGCTTAGTTGCTCCGCATCACGTGGGATCTTAATTCCCTGACCAGGGATCAAACCCGCTTCCCTTGCATTGGAAGGCAGACTCTTAACCACTGGACCACCAGCAAAGTCCTCTCCCAGACATTTCTGAAATACACAATTGAACTCTCAGCTCCTGAAATCTGCCTCTGCAGCTCTGACCTCCCATCCCTACCCTGGTGTACGTGGTGTTTTCCCATCAGCCTCTGTGCCAGGAGCTGGGAGGAAGGACAAAGTAGCCCAGGTGAGCAGCTCTGAAAACTGACGGCAAAGAGCACAGGTCCCTCCAGACTCGACAGAATTTTAAGAGCTGCTTCGACCCCCGCGCTGCTTAGCGTGGCATGTGGGATGCAGGCTCAGCCCTCCTCTCTGTCAGGGGCAAGTCCAACGTGAGAGGCAGCTCGTCCCCAAATTTCCTAACACGCGGGTTGGGTCACAGCTTGGAGGCTCAGCAGTGGGAATGCCTGGCTCCCATGTCTGTGGAAATGTTAAAATGTCTGTCAACAGGAAAGAAAGACCCTCTGATTCCGCCATCCTTAAGATACGTTCACGAACCGCTGCGTTGAAGATAAAAGCTGTATATTTTTTCAGTGTCGAGATTATTCTCTGTCAGAATTTCCTGTGTCAGTTTGCGAGGTTTTGTGTTTGTTTTGTTTTGTTTCTTTACTGGCATTGAAATAGGGAAATTATTTTTAAGCAAAGTGAAATCTTCTGATCCTTTTTACTGAATTCTGGAAATTCAGAGGGGGCCACCCTACGGGTGTGCTAGGTCCCTGAGCACATAAACACAAATCAAAGGTGTGGACATCAAAAGCAGGCATGACACTCAGGCTCCACTTGCCACAGTCTTTGGTTTGTTTCATAATTTCATAATGAAACACACAGCTTCACTGCAATTTGACATCACTGTTTATCGAACACCTCCTGCCAGCGTGTACCGGTTAGTGTGCAAGACAACTGGGGAAAATCAGTGACCGAAACAGCAAAGCAGCTCAGGCCCTGGGCCCTATGGCGTCTACATCAGCAGGGGAGATGGTCCAGAGACGGCAGGTGTAGCGAGCAAGTGGGAGATAAGCTACAGGTGAGCGGGGCTCCAGAAAAAAGCAAAGTGTGGGCAGAGAGCCAAGTGACCGGTCAGGGTGGGCCTCACTGAGGAGCTGACCTCTGAGCAAAGACTTGCAGGAGGTGAGGGGGTGGGCCGTGCAGGCAGTGGGGATGGTTCTGGAAGGTTCAGGAGCGGCAGAGAGACCTGCATGGTTGGGATAAAGTGCTCAAGGGGCAAAGTGGCAGGAGAAGAGGTCAGAGACCTGATCAGAGGAGCCACAGCCAGAGTGGGCTTGGGGCTCACATGTAGGTGGGAGCTTTGCTCCGAGGGGTGTGAGGACAGCTGCAGGGCAGGGGTACGTCTCACTCAGATTCTCAAATTGGGGAGATGTGGGGTGACGGGCAAACCCTAGGTGGAATCCAGCCGGCAGCGGTGGTGAGAAGTGTTGGATGTGGGACACAGTTGCTCTGTGCTTTCCAGCCATACTGGCTGGGGGTGCGAGAGAAAGTGGGGTATCGGGATAAAGCCAAGGGGTTTGGTGCAAACAGCTTGGAGGACAGAGTTGCCCTCGGCTGACCGGGAAGGCCAGGGGCAGAGAAGCTCTCAGGAACGCATGGAGAAAGACCTCCCGCTACCTGCAGCTCTGACGTTCTTTGGTCATTTTAAGTTGTGAGAGCTACATTTTTAGCCTTAGCCTTGTTGTTTTTCCATTTCCCACTCATTTCTGGAAACTAAAGGGGCAAAATGTGGTAAAGCAGAGGTGTATGCTGGGTGGGGGAAGATTCTCAGACCCTCGGCCAGCAGGGCAGCCCCATGGGCTGCATGGGAGCCCAGGCTGCTTTGGGGTGACACATGTAATGCCCCCAAAATGGACTGCTCGGCGGTTGGGCGCAGGGAGCAGGGTCTCATCCCGGGGTCTGAGGGAGCTGTCCAGCCACGTGGGCCTGGGGGGCAGAGACAGCTGAGACCTTCCCGTCACTGTGTCCACTCGGGATGGAATTGGGGACGGGGTCAGAAAAGATCATGCCGGAGCCCCTCACCCAGTCCGTGCCTGCCCGAGCTGGACCCCAGGAGCTGGCTGAGCGCTCTAGGCCACCTCATGCTCCCACCCTTCCCTCCACATGTCCCTCCCGGAGGACCTGCAGGCTCACATCAGCGTCTGCGGGACCCCCATGGGGCTCCCGGCAGGACAGCATCCCATCTGCTCTCCCTCCTCCCAGCCACGAGCTGGTTCTCCAGGGCAGTTTCCCCAGCTGCTGCTGGCCCTGCGCGCCCCTCACCTCACTCGGGAAAGGCCGGGTTCTCCACGCAGCTGGCGGCGCAGGGAGGCAGGTGTTAAGGGAGAGACTCGGGGGGATGCTGCGTACTGGCCGGGCGGGACCTCCCGCACCTGGCACAGAGTAACGGAACAGTGAGGTCCAAGGGGGGGCCCACACGTGGAAAGATTTCCACCTTTTGTAACATCTCACAGAGCGGGTTGGGGCCACCAAGACAGCGTTCCACAAACTGGGGCCTTTAAACATCTGAAGTCTATCCTCCCAGGGTCTGGAGGCCTGAAGTCCGGCGTCAGGGCCGAGCTCCCCCTGCAGCCTGCAGGGGAGGGTCCTTCCTGCCTCTTCCAGCTCTGGTGTCATCGGTGGCCTTGGCTTTTGGCCGCATCCGCCCAACCTCTGCCTTGCATCAGGCCTGGATGTCTGTCTTCCTATGGCCGTTTGGTATGGGGGCACCAGCCATCCCGGGTTAGGGGCCAGCCCACTCCACGATGACCTCATCTTAACTCATTGTGTCTGCAGCAGCCCTATTTCCAAAGGAGGTCACATTCTGAGGCTCTGGGGTTAGAACGGCAACATCCTGTTCTGGGGGGACACACTTTAACCGGTAACAGTGGGATAGGGCAGTAGTGCTTCCCAAACGAGCCCATGCAGGAAGGTGCACGATGAGAACAGAAGTGCTGATTGCATTTTATCCGTGTGAAGAAATCGGACTCAGACCAAAGTCCAGCAACCAGTCCTCTGGCTGGTCAACCCAGGTGTCTGGAGTAAAGCCCAGGAGGACCCTGAGTCCCAAGCCCATACCTGTGGGGGTAGGACCTGGACGAGTGACCAGGCCCTAACAAGGGACGGCCGCTCGTCACGGGATGGTCATGGGTGGGCTGTGGAACCACCGTTCTCTCCATGTCTCCTCTGACACGTGGTCCAGCTCAGCCTCTGCTGGGAATGTCAAGGTTGGGATCTGGGCACTCAGCCAGCCAGTCCACTGGCCCAATTTCTGGCTGCACCCTCACACCAGCCCACCGGCTGCAGCTCTGTCAGGAATGGGGGCTTCACCCTGCTCCTACCACTGAGTCTCCAGAAGCTGAGTGGTGTCCCTCCCTGGAGCCCCATTAGCCACAGAGGCAGAGGCGGGATTTGAACCCAGGGCCTCTGACTGTAGGCCTGCATGCTTTTTTTAGGTAAAAATTCACATAATATAAAATTAACCATTCCAAAGTGGACAATTCGGTGGCATTTAGGGCATTCACATTGCTGTGCAACCCTCACCATCGTCTAGTTCCAAGACATTTCATCACCCCAAACCTGGTCCGTGCTACCGCCCTCTCCCCATCCCCCTCCCCCAGCCCCAGCAACCACTAACGTACTTTCTGTCTCTCCAGATTCACCTTTCCTAGACGTTTCGTATAAATGGAACCATACGCTACCATGCATCCAGCCCTTTCACGGAGCATAGGGTTTTCACTGTTCATCCATGTCGTGGTGTGTGTCGGCACCCCCTCTTTATGGCTGAATGACAGTCCCTTGCGTGCATGGGCCACATGTGTTTATCCGCTGACAGGCAGGCCTGAACTCTCAAGTCCCGTTTGCTACTACAGTATCGCTCCTCCGGAATCGTCAAGGAGAAGGGCCCGCTTTCTGAGCACATGGAGAAAGCCGAGCCCACGGAAGGCGAAAGCCTCACAGCGACCTGTCACAAGCCTGGAGCCCGAAACCCAGGCAGACTCTCATTTTTCTTGTTTTAACTTAATGGAGCCGTCCGTGGACAATCTAGCCCTAAGATCTCTAGTTTTGCTTCTACCATGTCTCAGAAATCCCCAGGCGTTGGTTCTACCCAGACTTACAGAGTCAATCACCATGTCCACCATAGGAACTTCAGAAAATCGGGCGACCTCGCTGAGCATCTGAAGGGAGCCGAAAAGCCTGTGCAGGGAAGTCACGTGTCCTGCCCTCCACAAGGATGGGGGGTTTCCAGTGAGGGAAGTGAAACTGCCCGGAGCCACAAAGAGAGCTAAAATAAAGCCACTTTGGCCAGAAGAGTGCACATGCTCACCAGTCTGGTCCTGGAGGGCAGGTGACCCGGTTGGCTGACAGCGAGGCCATAGCATCGCAGCTGCGATTAAAGGCCCACCGTGGGTCTGAGCCCGGGCTGACCACTCACTGAACTCACTACCTGTCTTGTTCCTCCAGCCCCAATCGGGGTCTAGCCATGGCTGATGCAGTAACTAAATGACGTAAAACATCTTCGAGTCCTGGCCCGGGCTCAACAGTCACTGTGATGGCGACGCACACCCACCTGCTCGGAAAACAGAACTTAACTTCGGAGATTGCTAAGGGCAGTCCCACCTTTTCAAGCATGCAGACAGGAAGAAAAATAACAGCTGAGCACCATGAAAGCACGGCTTTTAAAAACAAATTTCAAGAAGAAGAAAAGACACTTGCTACGTGAAAAGACCACAAACATTTGTTCCATACGACTGAACAAACACAGCGGCGCAGCCACCTGAAGCGGGGGAAGCTTCCACACCAATGAAGGTTTTATCGGGTACATTTTTTTTCCAGGAAAAAGAATGAGTTCAAAAGGAGAGCCAGGGGCTTCCCTGGTGGTGCAATGGTTGAGAGCCCGCCTGCCGATGCAGGGGACACGAGTTCGTGCCCTGGTCCGGGAAGATCCCACATGCCGCGGAGCGGCTGGGCCCGTGAGCCATGGCCGCTGAGCCTGCGCGTCCGGAGCCTGTGCTCCTCTACGGGAGAGGCCACAGCGGTGAGAGGCCCGCGTACCGCAAAAAAAAAAAAGAGCGCCAGGATGTAATAGAACTATACATACCCCAGGCCATCACCCTTGGATTCTTCGGAGGGTTCAAAACCACAAACCTTGAGCGGTAAGAAGGCCGAGATTGCAACAACATGCAAAGAACTGTCTTGTTTACCCACTTCCCAACTTTCTGCCTCTTCACCAATGAGACAGAAGGATGACACAGGTCAACCTAGTCAAAGGGGGCAGGGTGCTCACTCTCTACTCTGGCGCTGCCTGAGAGGTTGTCCATGCCTTGTCTCACTTAAACCTCAAACAATGTAAGAAAGAAGTACTATTACTTCCCCCCGTCTTGCAGATGTGGAAGTCAAGGCTTGGGGTGACCCCACCAGAGGTTCCTTCTGGAGCCTGGGCCACCAGCCCCTCTGTGTGCATGAGAGCCAGTGCAGTTCTACACTGGCTGCTGTTACCATTTTGGTGTAAATTTCTTCGATTCTCCAGCTATTTTATAGACACTATTACTACTGCCCGGGGCTGCTATTTATGAAGTTGTTTTTTTGGGGGTAGACACTGATCTGAGTGCTTTACATATATCAGTTCATTTGTAGTAGGTACTATTATTCCCATTTTATAGAAAGTGAAACTGAGGCCCAGAGCGGGGTAGGGTTTGCCCAAGTTCCTTCAGCTGGTATGCAGCGGGGCCCAGGTGGGAACTCAGGCAGTCTGACTCTCAAGCCCATGGTTTATACTGCTGCCATGAAATCCCCCTCCCATCTCCTTTCCCCCAGTTTTACTGACATATAACCTTGCGTTAATTTCAGATGTATGACATAATGATTTGATATTTGTTTATATTGCAATATGGTTGCCACAAAAAGTTCAGTTCTCATCCATGACCTCACATACCTAAAATTTTTTTCTTGTCATAAGAACTTTTAAGATCTAATCTCTTAGCAAAATATACAGTACAGTGTTATTAACTATGGTTCCCATGCTGCACATTGGACCCCCCAGGTCTTACTGGGGGGTAAGAGTTTGTACCTTTTGTCCACCTTCACCCATTTCCCCAACCCCCTACCCGTTTTCTGCAGCCCACGTTTTTCCATCAAGAATCTGAAAAAATCACTGAAGGTTTGGAGGTAACAGAACAGAGTTCAGAGAACGTGCAGGAGAAGCTTCAAGGCAGCTCCTACATTGGCCCAACACCCAGCCTGTCTTCCTGTGACGGGCTTCTCTCTCTCAAGATCGGAACCAGAGCCGCTGAGCCTCCAAACAGGAGGAAGAGGCTTCCCCAAAGGGGTCGTAAATGACACAACTTTTAAGAAATTACTGGTTAGCTCTGCAAAGAGTAAGGCAAAGTGAGCGGATTGAACCTGCCTCGGACAAAAAGCTCCTTTGTCATTCCACCACTAGATGGTGCTCCTAGCTAAGATTTTAGAGAGATTTCCAGTAAGGCGTTTTACCGCTCCGTTTAACTTGCATCAGGGAATTCTGAGATACACACATACGTGTACATATACACACATGTATAAGTATGCATGTATATATATATACACACATATATTTCAAAGCAAGTTTGCCCTTGGAAATCTAGTACGGTATCATATGAAAACCAAGCAGAAACTGACAGTGGTGGTGTGTCTCCTGCGGGATGGTGGAGACACTCCTGCGGTGTTGTCACCTTCCAGCTATTAAGTCTCCTGCAGCTTCCCCGGAGCCCCCATGGGAGGCACCAACAGTCCACGTGCATGTTCTGCTCCTTCCGCCTCCCTTGTTAATCCTCACTCTAGGAAAGCTGGACTGGAGTGTCCTGGTTCCTTCCGACCGGCTCTCTGGCCCCTTAGGGCCCTTGGCTTATCACGGTTGTTAATTTTACACTCTCGTGTGCAATTATTGATTGCTTCTCTGTGTCTGGAGGAGGTACTCACTGTCACTTGCCTGGAGCCCGGTGCAGCGGCCGGCACCTGCAGGTGTCAGCTGTGGGAATACAGGGTGGAGGTGCTTGGGACCTCTCCTTAGAGCATTGCCAGATAACTGCCATCCTCGTGAAAGCAAAATACATCCTAAGATGTATTTAGTGGTAAATAAACCACAAGAAGAGGGGTGGCAGAACGACCGGAAGTACACCATGGAGGTTCACGGTACTGGTCAGACAAGTTCCATTGCTCTGCTAAGCCTCAGTTTCCTCGTGCAACGGCACCTCCTCTATTTGATAAGGCTTTGCACGCCGAGGGCTCAGCACAGCACCTGATAAAGGCTCAGGAAGTTTGCTCAGCCCTTGGTCATCTGGTCTCTGCCAAGCAGCACCCTTGGAAAGGACAGTGGGAAGAAAAAGAGCGGAGAGATGATTTCTGATTCCCCCTAAGCCACCAACTTAGACATTTTGAAAGTTAATATTTGTGTGACCTTCCAGCCGCCAAGATTTCATTTGGTCGGAACACTGCAGATGAAGGGCTGGCCTCTTAAGGGGGGGTTGATTGGGGGGGACGTGGAAGGTCCAAATGACATGCCTTGGCTGAACTCACCTGCGATGGGATTCTAAATTCTTTCCCTGTGTACATGTCAATCAGGTAGTATTCCTCTTTGTTTTTTGTTTTTTGCGGTACGCGGGCCTCTCACTGTTGTGGCCTCTCCCGTTGCGAAGCAGAGGCTCCGGACGTGCAGGCTCAGCGGCCATGGCTCAGGGGCCCAGCCGCTCCGTGGCATGTGGGATCTTCCCGGACCAGGGCACGAACCCGTGTCCCCTGCATCGGCAGGTGGACTCTCAACCACTGCGCCACCAGGGAAGCCCATCAGGTAGTATTTCTGATTCTTTCCTGCTTCCAGGCCTGGGGTGACTTGTCATCCTGCATTCCCCATTCTGACCCCTAGTTACCTGGCCGCCCCTCCTATCCAGGAGCCTCTGGAATTCTTTAAGTCTAAAGCCCCTTCACCCTGCAGCCTGCCTTTGGATTTTCCAGGTAGATTTGGGGGAGGGAGTTCTCACGGTGCTCCTTCAGGGAGCCCCCATTTTGTCAATTTAATTGAGCTTCTGCAGATTCCTGGTTTCCCAGAGTCTGTGTCGCTACCTCTCAAATCTGTGAGCCCCTGAACGCTGCTCTTTGGCAAGGAGGTTCCCCTTGGGATAAAATGAGAATTTCTGAGCCCAGGAATGAGTTCAGATGTGGCCTCAGCGCTTCTCTCTTCTCTGAGATCACACTCATTAAGTCTGGGATTCAGGACCTCAGGCCCTCTAGCTCCCCCCGAGGAGAGGTGGTTCTGATCATCTTAATACTTCTCAAGTCCCCAGGGTGAGCAGACCATGAGGGCGCCTACCACCTCGGGGCTGGGCGCCCGCCAGCGAAGCAAGCAGGCCTTCTTTGAGCCCCAAAGGCGCCCCAAATCCCATCCATCCTGTGCTGTGACCCCAGGTCGGCCCTGCTGCACCGCCCGCTCCCACACGAGCAGCGGGGTCCCCAGTGCGCGCTCGGGGCCACCGCGGGAGGGGGGGCGGGGGCGACGAAAGAGCTAGCTAGGAGGACAAGGAGCCCAGCGTTCCACGTGCGCGGGGCGGAGCTGGGATCCCCCGGAACCACGTGGGACCCGGACCGCCCGCCATGCTCCGCGGGACACCGCGAGCTCCACGTGCGCGGGGCGGGGCCGGCCGGTGCCTCTCAACAGAGGCGGGGACCGAACCCCAGCCAGGCGAGTAAACGGCGGCGGGCAGGGCAGGGCGGGCGGCGCGGGCAGGGGGCGGGGCTTGGAGGGCGGGGCCGGCGGCGGCGTATAAAAGGCGCAGCGCGGAGCCGGTGAACGTAGCGGCCACGCCGGCAAAGCGGGCTCTCTCTGTTGGGCGGCGAGCGCACCGTGTCCGGCCCTGTCCGGCCCTGTCCTACGCGGCCGGCCCGGCAGCATGGCGGGCTCGGGCCCGAAGCGGCGCGCGGCTGCGGCCCCCGCGGCGGCCGAGGAGGAGGAGCGGCAGGCGCGGGAGCGGATGCTGGCGGCGCAGCGCGCGGATTGCGCGGAGGGCGAGGGTGTGACCCTGAAGCGCAACATCACGCTGCTCAATGGCGTGGCCATCATCGTGGGCACCATCATCGGCTCGGGCATCTTCGTGACACCCACCGGCGTGCTCAAGGAGGCGGGCTCGCCGGGGCTGGCGCTGGTGGTTTGGGCCGTGTGCGGCGTGTTCTCCATCGTGGGCGCGCTTTGCTACGCAGAGCTCGGCACCACCATCACCAAGTCGGGCGGCGACTACGCCTACATGCTCGAGGTCTACGGCTCGCTGCCCGCCTTCCTCAAGCTCTGGATCGAGCTGCTCATCATCCGGCCCTCCTCGCAGTACATCGTGGCGCTCGTCTTCGCCACGTACTTGCTCAAGCCGCTCTTCCCCACCTGCCCGGTGCCCGAGGAGGCCGCCAAGCTCGTGGCCTGCCTCTGCGTGCGTGAGTATCGGCCCCGGGACCCCGGCGGGCGGGCGGGTGGGGGGCGCCGAGCTGAGGCCGCCGCGCGCCCGCGTCCCGGCCCCTTCCCGCACTCCTGGACCATGCCCACATTCCGCGGCCCCGGGCCGACCCCGCAGTTTTAGACTGAGGACACTAGCCCCAGAACCCACGTGCGTTTCATTCATTCGTTTCCTCACCGCCTTGGGAATTCTGCAGACAGCAAGCAGGGTCTCCGCCCTGAGCCTCAGGCCGGAACTAACCTTTCCACTTAGTTCATCCAGAGCTCTTGGAGGTGAAGCAATATCCTTACTTTCTTGCAAGGCACCCACGTGGAGTGCTTGAAAAGCCAACTACCTGTCTGCTTGAGTTCCCAAATGAAACTCCCTTTTTCAAGAGAGAAATCGTAGTTTAAAAAGAAAAATACCAAAAAAAAAAACCCCACACCTCATTCAAACCAGCTTAATCAGGAAAGGCTGACTCATACAAAACCAAATAGTAATAAGATTCTGTGTGGGCAGTGAATGAGTTGCTCGTGTAGGCAGCAGTGTTGAGTCCCCTGAAGGTTGCCTAGTGAGTTGTAAAAGAGAGGTGCTTGGCTGAAACTTAAATGTGTGCAGGGTGGCTTTGGGGTCCCAAGCTGTGCTGAAATACAGCCATTGGGTACAGTCCGAATGTTGGTGGATAAGGCCCCAGTATGTTGGTGGAGGAGGTCCTGGTACGTTGGTGGGCTGTTTTCTGGTGGGATTTCAGGAAAAAAAAAATCACTTGTACCAAAAGCCACGCAATTTTCTTTGCTTTGTGGCTGCTGCAGTTTTCTGCCTACCCCTTGGCGAACGTCTAAGGAGGCTTGCAAGACGGAAGTGTCCTGCTTTCATAGCTGCCACCTGATTTGAGGCTCTGTCTGCACCTTGACGGTACACAGAAGTGCAGAGCTAACAGGGCTGGTTTGTGGTTTCTGTCCGAGCCCCAAGACTCAGGGGACTGTGCCATCCCTTGGAGCGGCTTCTGACCAGCAGTACATGCCGATGCTGTTGGGATTCTGAGCCTGGGGACCAGCTTCCCGCATAAGCTCACTGCGTGGTGGTGGTAGTGTTGAGGGGCTTTCAGAACTCTGAGGCACGCTCTGGGAAGTGGTGACCCCAGGAGACCTGACACTCTGACAGAGCAACTACGCTGTGGCGAGGGGGGGGGAGCGTTTTGCCTTTTGGGGGAGTCTCAGCGATGAGGATCTCCGCTTATAAAAACTTTTGGTCCAAATCTAGGAATAGTCACAGCAACAGTCGATCTGCCTGAGGACGGGGGAAACTGTGGCTTCTGGTGGGCTTCTCAGACGGTGCTTTGGGCTGAGTAAGGAAAAGCCCCAATTAAAGAATTTTAATTGTGCGATTTTCATCATTGTTAGGTCTTATTTAATGTTTCGGCCCAGGACGTAATGACATGATACTGCCTTTAAAGGGCCCACTTTCTAGTCTTGGAAAATGGATCCCTTACTTTCTTAAACTTTTAGGTTTAAGCCGGTAAAGGCTCGGGGTGGATTCTGAAGGGGCTGTGGCGGGTACACCCTCACCAAGACTCCAGTCACCAGCGTGGAGGGTCACGTGAACAGCACCCCTTTGGGTGTGAGCTAGGGTGTTTGTTGCTTTTTCTGATGGAAAGGAGGTTTTCAGTAACAAAAAGGGATATGTTGTCTGCAGGAGTGAGCGCTAGTCTAGAGCCTGCTGTGTCTAGAGGGGGACGTGGGCCTGTGCGAGGCTGGCGGAACTCGGAGCCGCTGGCCCGGGCTGCTCTCACGGGCACAGAGAAAGGTTATGGCCATGCAGGGAGGGGGCCTGCTCTTCAGGGTGTCTGAGAAGGCAGCAAAAAGCCACAGAAAGTTTTTGAGTGTTGTTCGATTATCGCACACAGGCTGGGTTCTAGAACTTCTCCTCGAGAGGAGAAAGGGCCCTCTGCATCGCCTGCTTCCTGGGCCCCTCCCCGCAGGGGGCACGTGCACCCCTGGCCCAGCAGCCCGTGCTGGTGCTTCATGAACGGCCCCGGGGCCTGATCTTTGAACAGTGTATCCTGGGCTCAGGAGCCGCGCTCTTCTCGGTTTTGCTAGTTGATCGTTCCTGTCCCCTGGCCTCGCCCCGGGACAGCTCCTTTCTGCTTGTTGTGACTCAGTTTGGCTTTGGTGCTTAGCATGATCCCACTGACAGCATAAACGGGGGGAGGGGACGAGCCCCTTTTCTGGTGGGTCTGACGAAACGGGGCCCTCTCATGGTGTGGCCCTGGTGTTTCCATGTTTTTAACGAGTCATGAAGGTGAGAGAGGGACACGAGCTCTGTAACTCTTTGCCGATGGCCCCGGGAGTTTGGTTTGCACAGGTTATTTATCACTTAGCGAAAACTTGGTAGCGTTTCTTTGAGATTCAGGTGACACTGGGTTTTATCTTTGCGACAGAAGTCACTCGGGAGAGGTGAGGTTCTCGCCTGGCCGGGTTTTCGTCTGCAATTTCTCTAGCCTTCCTGGCCGCCTCTCTCTGTGATGGGTCCAGTGGGATCTGGAGAGGCTGGACGAGGCATACACAGAGAGGAGCTGCCCAGGGCAGGTACCTGGGAGCCATTGTGGTTCAGAAACAGCTGCGACCTAACTGAGTCCTTTATCTCATGGAGAAGCTCCTAGGAGAAGGCGTCTGAACAGGCTCCCATCTCCCTCTGCTGGATGGTGCCCTGTCTGAGTTGTTGTGGTCACTCCTGCCCAGGACACGTAGGTGTCAGGGAAGTGGCTGCAGACCCGGTCGCCCGCCCTTCTCCCTCTCCCACTGGGGAGGACGGCCACCCAGACCCCCTAGTTGTCATGCACATCATCCATCCATCTTGTAGAACCTGGCAGGTCTGCTGGTGGCCAAGAGTGGGACTCTGCGTCCCCTTCCAGCTTGGTGGCCCTTGGTGTGGCCTGGAAAGCACTTCCTTCCTGCCTTCTCACAGGGGACAGACCGGGTTGCCAAGGCTCCCCTAGAGTGAGCTGCCCCCGCCCCCCCCCCCCGCCACTGTCACCCTTACTCGGGCAAACCTGCGTGGAGTGGGGGCAGGGGGTCCTCAGCTGTTGTTCCTCTAGGGACCTGTGACCTGAGATATTTTCCACTGGTGTCAGGTAAAGAGCCTGCGTTCTGCACGTGGACAGACCCGGGTTCTGATTTGAGAAATTCGCGGGACCTCCTAGCCTCAGTTTCCGCATCTGTGACATGGGGGTTCGTGGTGGGTGTTTGTGAGGAGCCTCGGCCACTGCATGTCTAACGAGCATGGCACCCGGGGACCCTGGTCACACGGTGGCTGTGATTGCTCTCAGCAGTGCCCTCCTTCTGGCGTTCGCCCTTGACCTCTTGAGCCGCCCTGCAAACTGCTCTCCTCCCCTCTATTGGCGGAAAGAAGGAAGGAGAGCGTTGGAGAGGAAGAGGGAGGCCAGCGTCTCCCTGTCAGGAGCCGAGCTGAGCTGCCCATCGCACAGGCGGCACCGCAGCCCTGCCGGGGGTTGGGGGGGCGGCCCCGCCCAGGGCTGGGGCACAAATGTCCCCCGCAGGGGAGGGTACAGATGAGGCAGGGGTTTGGTGGCTGGGGGTGAGCCGTGGCCAGCTGGCTCCAGGCTAAGTTGGTCGTTGGGGTCATGAGCCGAAGGGGGTAGGGGGTGGCAGCACACCCTCTCCCCCAGGCTTCCTGGCGTGTCCACCGCTGTGTCCCCGGGCCTCAAACCAGGCCTGTCACAGCGAGGCCGGCACACAGCCCAAGGCCGGCTCAGGGTGTCTGGACGCCTGCCAGCCGCCCGGCCTGAACCCCTCGCCACGTGAAGCAGAGGCTTCTGGGTGTTTCCAAGGAGCTGGCAACCCCAGAATCGCGAGCTGTGAGCTGAGTGTAGACGATAGCATGGTAATTAGCCCTGAAATCCGACTACCTGGGCCAGACTTGAAAGCACTCCGGCTCGAGTCACGGGGCGTGGCGGGTACTTCACAGAGCGCATGACTGAGGGAGGGCGTTTCTGACCCTTTTCCTCTGGGTCACGGACCCCTTTGATGATCCCATGGAATGTGCAGACCCTGCTCAGAGGTTTCCACCCTGCTTGTTCACCCCAGACTCGCGGTGAGAGCTTCCCAGAACCCCGGGGCCCCGTCCGGGCTGGGAGCCTCCCCCCGGCCCCCAAGAGCGGTGCCCCCGTCACAGCATAAACGGCCCAGCCTTTGAAATCAGTGTCATCACCCCCACTTTACAGCCAGGGAGACTGCGGCGCGGTGGGCGGGAGCCGGGGCTGTGGTGCCCTTCCCCTCCGGAGCCGCCTCTGTCATCCGGCGTGGGGACACGGCCGTGTCTGTGCTGGGGGTATCAGGCGTCCAGGACAGTGTCAGTCGCCATGTCCAGGCACCAGGTCGTCAGGGGCACACACTAGTGGATCTGAGGTGTGCGTGTGTCCTGGGCTCTCCGGGAAGCACTGCCCCCGCACTGTGAGGAGTCGGACCCCTTATAGGAAACCATCTAGAAAAACCTCCCTCTTCCTCTCAGAACTTTGCAGACGAGCTTCCAGGGCAGGGTGGCTGACAGCTGCCCCATGAGTTCCATCTACCCAGTGGCCACGGGCCCTGTCCCTTGCCCACGCTGGTCTCCAGTTCCTGTCCCCTGCGGTGACTCACAGCAGGTGCCGGGGACCGGGGGGCATGTGATTCCACACCCCCAGTCAGTCAGGGTAACCTTCCTGGGCCCTTGTCTGGATTACTGGCTGGGGGAGCTGCCCAGAGCATGCCTGTCCCCACCAACGGGCCTTGTCCTGTCCTCTCCCCCAGCAGGACCACTGCCCAGTCCAGCAGCTTCTTGGCTCGATGGTTGGGGTCCCCTGTACATCCTGGCAGGAGTTCCCCACCCAACTCTTTCCTCAGTCCTGGCAGGATCCTGCATTCTTGCTTGGGAGTGTGGGTTGGCGGGGCAGCCGGAGGGAGGGGTGTGGTTTTACCCCCTTGCCTGTGTGTCCAGACCTGC